TGGGTATCACTTCTAGCCATTTTGATCGTGCGTCTTCAACAATCAACCACATTTTACCTAAGAAAGTCTATGTGGATTCTTGACCAGACTTCTGTTGGGACGGTCCACGAGAAGAGAGGCATCTCCATGTCTTTAGGCCTGTTCTCTTGACAACCAACACAATGTTTTGTATGTTCTTCCAGATCTTTATCTAGACCGGGCCACCACACTTGAAATCTCGCTTTACCTTTCATACCGACTATTCCTGGATGTCCCTCATGGAGTACTTCCATTACTCTTGGCCTCAGTTTTGAAGGTATTACTATGCGACCGAACCAGAGTAATATTCTGTTTTCAAAAGAAAGTTCTTCACGCTTGTTGTAATAAGGTAAAACTTCTTTGTTGTTGGTAACATGTTCTGGCCATCCACTTCTAAGGTAGTTTATTACTTTAGCGAGTATTGCGTCTTGTTTCGTTGCTTCCTGCAAGCTCTTTGTGGTCATTGGTAAATCCTAAGACCTGAGATGAAATAGATGAGATCCGTTGCAATCTCCTAGGCGTTCTTCGTTTGATTTGATTTTTGATTCAAGAGGAAATCTTGAGAGTAAGTCTGCAGTTGTGTTTTCCTATCCTTTTTGGTAGGTTATGGAATAGTCGTAGGAACTCAATGTCAGAGCCCACCTTGCGATTCGGTTTGAAACAACCTTAGGGATCGGATCATGTTCTCCAAAAAGCTTGATTAAGGCTTTATGGTCTGTCCGTATTTCAAAATGTCTGCCATAGAGATACTGCTCAAAACGTGTTACTCCAAAAACTAATCCTAGAGCTTCTTTTTCTATCACACTATAACGGGTTTCAGCAGAGTCGAGTCGTCTTGAAGCGAACATCACCGGCCTCTCAGTCCCGTCCGAATATCTGTGGAAGAGAGCAGCACCCAGACCAACCTCGCTTGCGTCAGTGCCTAGTATCAGCGGTAACGATTCGTCATAGTGAGCTAAATTGTCCGCTGTAGTTAACAAGTGTTTCAGTTTTGTTGCTATTTTCTCGTGTTTATCTGTCCATTGCCATTTCTCTCCTTTCTTTAGTAGACCATGTAAGAGAACACACAATGACTGCAAATGTGGAACAAATTTACCATAGTAGTTGAATGACCCCAGAAACGATCTCAATTCTTTGACATTTTTAGGGGACGGCATGTTTTTCATCGCTTTTAAGTGCTCATTTTTTGTGGGATGTATGCCAGTTTTGTCAATCATGTGACCCAAGTATTTGACTGAATCCTGTAACCATCTGCATTTTGACATTTGTGCGCGGATACCCATATCTGTAAAACGTTTTAGCACCTCTCTAACTCGACGTATATGTTCCTCTCGTGTGGGAGCTGTGATTATTACATCGTCGAGAAGACATGCAACTCCTTCCAAGTCCGCCAGTACTTGATCCATTTTACACTGAAATGCCCCTGAAGCGATTTTAATCCCAAAAGGAAGACGGGAATATCTAAAAAACCCTTTGTGTGTGGAAATAGTTAAATATTTTTGTACGCAAGTGTCAACTTCCATCTGTAAGTAAGCATCCTTGAGATCGATGACTGTGAACTCTTGTCCTCCAGTAAGTTTCGCTGTAATTTCTTCAAATCTGGGCATAGGATAGTTGTCTGAAATCATATACTTGTTTATCGTGTTTTTAAAGTCAGCACATATGCGTATTGCTCCAGAAGGTTTTACAACAATCACTATAGGTGAAGACCATGTAACAGGCTCCTCACTCGTGTTCACTGGCGTCAAGACTTGGTTTTCAACTAACCGCTGCAGTTCGTCTTCCACAGCTTTGCGTAAGGAAAAGGGTACAGGACGTGGTTTTGAAATAACTGGAACTGCGTCTTGGGTCAAGTTGTGAAATACTACGTTACTGTTTTTGATTGTGCCTTGAGAAGGATGAAACACTTCTGGAAAGTCACTAACAATTTGTCTTACCAAATTCATACTATTCACACGAGTGGTATTGTTCGGTTGTCGAGTAACTGTACTTACTTCAGCACCTGGTGGTAAAGGAAGATTGAACTTAAGTACCCAGTCCAACCCAAATAGAGGAACATCATTTTTCTTGACTACTATAATCTTTAATTTTTTTGAACTACCAAATGCAAGAACACCAACCGATGTTTCGCCTAGTGTTTCAATTTGTACCCCCGTGTAGGCAGTAAGATTTTCACAGGGGTAAAGTGTTGGTGATCCAATCGATTTCCACAGTTTTTCTCCAATAATGCTGTAAGCTGCCCCTGGATCGTAAAGCATTTTTACCTTACGTTTGTTCATTTCAACATTGATCATTACTTTGGAACCCTTTTCCAAAGTTCGTATTTGGTCAATGTCTGAGTACGGAGCGTTATCCTCATCCAAAAAATTTTCGATTTGATTTAACTGTTTTGGTCTAGCAACAACCGCATTTCCTGCCATCAAACATGCACGAGAAAAATGATTATTACCATTACAAGCTTTACAAACAGCACCCATAGCAGGGCAATCCTCGTGATTTGCATGTCTCTTGTTACCGCATTTAAAACAGTGTATTCCCTTGTTGAGTTTAAGAATAGGGCTGTTTCTAGTATTTATTTGTTTTGAGTCTGATTTGTCTTGTCTTGTGTGGATGTGTTGATTTGTCTGGTGTATTAGGAATTTTACTCTGTTAATTTTTATGTTGCGCATTTCCTGTTGTTGAGTGTCCACATTCTCAAGTAACGTTGCCGATTCGACTACGCTAGAAAAAGACGTGTTTGTAGATGCGTGAAGTCTTAAAAGTTCAAACTGCCATTTATCATTGTTAATTCCAAGGATGAACTGATCCCTTAAGCGTATGTCCCAGACCATCACCAAAAGCACAGTGTCCGGCTAGAGACCTTAAGGATAGTTCAAACTGGTTTACAGATTCACCATCGTGTCTAAATCTACTTGTAAAGCTGACTCTTTGTGAAAGAGGAGCGGTTTGTTTGGTGTAGTATTTATCTAAGATTGCTACAGCGTCGTTGAATCCAATATTACTTACGGGTGTAGGATGCACCGAGTCGAATACAATTTTGAAAGGTTGTGGGCCTAAGTGTCCTAGTAAAATGTCTCGTTTCTTGTCTTCATTCTTGACGTTTTCGTTCCTTAATCTGATCTTCAATCGTTCAAACCAGTAAACCCAATCTTTGGTCGTCCCGTCAAATGAGCTACACTTAAAATCAATATTTTTCGACTGCGCCATTGTAGTGTTTTGGTTTATTATATTAATAGAATAAAATATTTAGACATATTTTGAAAACATGATGTGTATTCTAAGTGAGTAAACAAACAACTGAACTGAACTGTAAACATATCGACAATTAATTCATCTTAAAACATGTGACAATAACACCAGCAGGTACACTACTCCCGCCCTTCCCAACAGCCATCCTCTCCCTTTTCCGCTAGACTACAGTAATGATTTCCCCAAGCAAAGCTTGATCCCCAGGTACTGTTATTAAAAAACAAATACATCTGACTGTTTTTGAAAATCTGACTGTTTGAGGAAATATTTTGATAGAAATCCAATCAGACAAAATGGAAATTTGCTTGTTCTGCAGGTTTTCTGTCAATCCATAGTATAAATCCTGTTTAACTGAACGAATATTAATTGACTCTAATAAACAAATTAAGTTTAGTTGAATAAATATGTTGCATAATTATGCCCTATCAAAGATATATTTTTACTTTCTCCCCCTATATGGAGAAAGTATCGTTTTTGTAAAAATTTTTGAGTTTGAGTTTTGAGTGGATATATCTTTTTTGGGTACCCCTGGACCCAAAAAAGTGTTTTTTGAAGTGATGTCTATCTGTGTGTGTGTCTGTCTGTCTACATGTCCGTGTGTGATGTGTACAGAGCTACAGACCACACCTGTGGTCCGATTTCAATGAAATTTGGTATGTAGTTACTAATCCATGGTTATCTCAAGGCATTTTTAAATTTTGATTTTTAACGGTGATTTGTTCATAAAACCTATAAAACACTGACAGAAAAATCAAATTTTCTCGATAACGGCCAGAACTATTTTGATAAAACTTTAGTATGTTATAGAAGGTTATAGCCCTTTAAATTCTGAACAAAATGGTACTAATCTCGTTCCTGTAAAAATTAATGTTCAAAAGTTATTGGACGAAATAGAACTAATCTCGTTCCTGTAAAAATTACCGTTCAAAAGTTATTGTAACTAATGTTAATTTCCCATCAAACTCCATAAAATAGGTCTAATGGGAAATCGGAATTTTAAAAAAACCGTTTTTGATTAAAGTTAGTATGTTATGGTCTTTATAATTCTCAACAGAAAATAGTGCAACCCCCATTGCTGTAAAAATTACTGTTCAAAAGTTATTGAAACATATGTTATTTTCCCATAAAACTCCATAAAATAGGCCTAATGGGAAATCGGAATTTAAAAAAACCGTTTTTGATTAAAGTTAGTATGTTATGGTCTTTATAATTCTAAACAGAAAATAGTGCAACCCCCATTGTTGTAAAAATTACGGTTAAAAAGTAAATGGAACTTTTGTGATTTTTCCTATAAAATATGCTTACACCGATTACCCATAACATAGACAAATAGAATAAATATAGACTGTCAAAGGAAGGTTCCGGCGCCACCGCTACGAGTGCCGTGTAGTTATGGCGCACACCGCTGCAGGGGAGGAGCGCAGGAGCCGTATGTGACCAGCATACGCTGCAGCGGTGTGCGCCGTAACTACACGGCAAACCTAGCGGTGGACGCCAGAACTTATGCTAATCGCAGCACAGCTGACGGTCTATATTTATTCTGCCCATAATAAAGGTTGTTGACAAGCTAATGGGAGAAAGTATGGGTCGGATTTCTGATACTGTTTATTTCAATGAGTGACAAGACACTCAACATTCATTCATAAGTTACAATGTCAGGTACCTTACATGGCTTACTACATGGTAACTTATTTTATGTGTGTCTAAGATAAAATAATCATAAATAAACTTACTTTTCAAATTCTCAAAAATGTCCTCAAGTTCTGTGTCCATTTTGGTTTGTGAAGGTTTGGTATAAAATTTGATCATTTTCTTACTCCACTTTGTAGGTAATTCGCATTTAGGTAAAGACCTCCACTTTTGTTTAGGTGTTATGGAATGTTTCTCAGAAACGTCATTCTCATCTTCTGAAATTAAATCCACTGTTGGAGGTACAGGTTTGAAGGGAGAGATGTTGAGAGACAAACTCCCATCAAAGTTGTTAGTAGTTTCACTACTTAAAACTTCTGATTGCTTTGTGCAAGTATTTTTTGATTTGCCAATAAGGCCTGCTTCTTCACAAGAAAAGTTTAATGTGCCATTACTTAGATTTGAACTTGACTGTCTAGATGTATTAGGTTTTGTAATTTTTTTCACATTGTAAGCATATAAAGCTCTTGCAATATAATATAGTTTTCCTTTTCTATTTTCATTTGGATTTGCATTTTTCAAGGCACAAAACATTTGATCTATGATACAATTTCTACTCCCTGGTTTATTTGCTCCAACAGATATAAAACTTTCATTAGCTGAATCCTTCCAATCAGGAGGTTTGTCTGTTTTGAATGAATTGGGTATAACCACATGTTTCAACTGCCTCATATCTTTCCGTCTAAAGAAATTTTTTGGAACTTTAAAATAATTTAAATCAGAAAAGTCAATGTTGGAGTATACAGAGTCGTATGTTCCTCTTTCACGATTGAAGGAAGTTGTGATTTTCTCTGTTGAAACATCCAAAGCGTCAATATTTACATCACTATATCTGAATCTTTTGAATGAGCTTTGTCCAGTAGTCAATCTATCATCAGAAATCACAAGAATTTCATCTTTTTCTGATGAATGATCATCTTCTGCCCTTTGAGCAACATCATTATCACACCCAGAGTCGTTAGCGAGTTGTTCTACTACTTTTATCTCTTCTGATTTGAGGTTTTCCAATGAATTATTCAATGCAACTGTCAGTTTACCGTCTTCCCCACACTCTATTGAGTAATGCTTGGCCAGATCTGGTGGTAGGGGTTGGCTCAAGTCACTGTGGTGTATAATTGAATACAGCCGTGATTCTAACTCATCTTGGGTCTGCTCGGGGTCGGACTCAGATCCTGCATCTTCATTACAATCATAACCCATTAGCCAGGAACAATCCATTTAGGCTACCTAGAAAAGACATTAAAATAAAATGCCAAGCAAAATCAAGGCAATACATTATATCCAAGAAAAAGGTTTTATGTTTGTGTTTGCCCAATCTCAAACCAAACAAAATTAAAGATTGATTTAAGTTATTGATTTTTTACCATTTTCTCGACACAATTTTTTTTTTACTAACCCTGTTAACAATAAGCTTTATGAAATCATTTTTTTTGTGTTTGAAATCGATGCCAAATAATGCCCAATTTTCATTACAGTTTTCATGTAGGGTTTTAACAATCAAAGAGTAAATATATCAGGAAAGGTGAACCAAATAAAAGAAATAAAAGAAAATACAGTTGTACAAGAAAATACAGTTGTAAAAGAAAATATAAGAAAGAAAAATAAAATAAAAGAAAGAGAGACCGTCAGGTGTTTTTTAATATACTGCGTTCAAACAGCCGTGGCACCTGACGGATTAGGAGACCATTTACTCACACACACACAAACGCAGTTGGCCCGGCTGCCAGGTAGACGACTCACAGAGTGGGGCGTCCAGTAAGCAACTGCTGTTTTATTTAAACACAAATTTCAATGGTTATAACATGCATACTTGCAATATTTGTAAATTTTATAACATAATGACACCAAACACGATATGATTATGATAATAATGAGACAAAACGAGGTTTATCCATAGAAACTCTCCCAACTACTCCCATCTATGAGACTATAAACGTATGTACAATTGTTTTGCACTTAAAAAAATGAAATATACTTAACAATGTTCCTGACAAAATATGTCTACAGGTACATATAGCAAATATATTAAAAGATTATTAAATAATTTCCTGCTGATAACGCTGATTTCAGTTCTGCTTTTATCCGAGTGACAGTCCGTTTCGAAACACTACAGGCCGCTGAAACTCGTTCAACTACCTTTTTGACATCCAAAATAGGCCCCATATCATCTTTTTTTCCAAATAAAAATATGTTATCACAGAGGCAATAATGCTTCTTATTTGCAACACTTCGTTTGACTTCTTTGATGACATCGTTAGTACACTATAAAACTACGAAATAAAAAAATGTATTTATTTACTATGAGCAAACGAATGTACCTATATTATAAATTATTGTAAAATGGTTAATAAATAAACTATGAGGACAGCACAGCACGACTAACACCACTATACGACAACAAAAATCACCACGTTACTACATGAATACCAACGGCCTACTGGTGTATGTGGAACCCACTTGTCTATCTTAGGGCATAGTACAGGACATGACTTCAGTTTGGGTATGTAACTAACTACCCTTGACTCATAGTAGCGTCCGAACAACCCTTAGTCATCGCATGCCAATGCCAGAGTCCAAGCGTTCATATCACTACTAGTAACTGATTATAATAAAATACATTAAAACACATAAGTTCGTATTAAATTTATTAACTAGTTGTGGAGTGTCTAATTAACGGTAAATTAACATTGTTTGTAATTATAAAAATTATCTTCATTTCACATGGTATAACCTCGGAGTACTTATTGTAGTATAAAAAAATGTGTATTTCAAATTACGAAATTTATTAGGTGTATATGCATATATTATCGTGTTCGGATTCATTTTTTTTGTAATTTAATGAACATTTTGAATATAACCCTTAAATTTATTAACATTTGTTATTTGGTAAAAATTAGCATATGCTTACTGGACGCTCAGTGGCGAGTCATCTGCCTAGCCGGGCAAGTCAGACCCAGAAGCTCGTGAGTGCGCGTGCAAGAGTCAAGGGTCTCCTAATCCGTCAGGTGCCACGGCTGTTTGAACGGACTATAGTATGTTACATGATTGTTCAATGCAGAGTTGGCCTTAGATAATGCGGGCCCTGTGCAAACCATTAAAGCCCTTACTACAAAAAATTTATCTCCTTCCCCCCCATATTGTTGCTCATGGTCAAAGGATGATAAATTTCTGCTATCGTGGCCACATCCATCATCATTTCTCACGATCACGGCAACGATTGTGATGATTTTTACAATCCCAGTGACTAGTGTTAAAAGGTCAACATCTTGATTAAATTTTCAGTGCTCGTGATTTTTTATTAGACACGACAATACAAAAATACTTAAGACAAACAACGATTATTGGAGATTATTCATAAACCAAATTTGCTAAGACTTTTAATATTTGTTGTGTTTTTGCTCCAAGCGTGCTTCTCTCCCCCCCTACGCGCAGGGCTTGTGCATGCCTAAGGCCAGCTCTGGTTCTTTGAAATATGGTTAGTGAAATATGCAAGTTCTAAATACAGTAGGCCTACATTGTATCCTTAAGGAGGGATAACATTCTCCCCCTATACATACTATATCATGGATAGGGGGAGAAAGTAATACCATTAAGGAGTAAGGACTAACCATTAATACCGTTAAAAGCTAAGGGGAGTGCCGTAGGTGAGTTGTCTGGGACCCATCTTGTTTACACTCTACACAGCCGACCTTACCACGTGTTTACGTCACTTAGGGTCTATCCATATCAAGTGATCCATCAGGGGGTTGCTTGACCATTAAAAAAAAATAATATTTTTATCCTTGATACCCTATCAATTCTGGGTTCAAAAGTGATTTTAATTTTTTTTAATCTCTTTTGCTACTTCTATGGCGGCCATTTTTGTCTTGCGGAACAAGCACATTTTTGCTCGTGTAAGGGTTTGCGTTAACTTGCATAACTCGGTAACCATGAACACTAGAGTGATGAAACAAAAAGCATTTTAATCTGGAAGAAAAAGCCTAAATATTATGTGCAGTACATATTTATTGAAATGTGTATCAAAAACAGTTTTCAACCCATCTCAACATTTCATAAGAAAACGGAAAGGTTTCAACTTTTGAAGGCGTATTACCGTTGGAAAAAATAAAATCTCAGACTTGATTTTTTTGTGTGTGTAGCAACTCAGTAGAACTGTTTGTATTTCAAATATCAACCCTGTGACTTAATTCCTTTAAAAGTTATAATTTTTCAAAAACTAAAATTTTTAGAAAAATTCATATTTTGAGTCTCAATATCTTTGTTGGGACAAAGTTTAAAAATCTGAAATTTTTACTAAAAACCCCTCTTATGGTTGTTATACTGCTGTATGAATTTCATCTTTGAGATTTACTTTTAAGCTAAGTTACAGTATTATGAAAATCGCAAAAAACCCATAAGCTCGGCCAACGCGGCTAGTACTGTAAGTAGCTTAAACATTAATTTATAGAGGTGAAGGTGATTATTTTATTTAATGTAAACTTATCTTAATGTACATTTCAAAAATCCAAAACAGATTTTTAACTTAAACTTTGTACCCAAAGTACAAATTATATGTACGGTACTAAAAATAAATAAAATCCTGCTGAGTTTTAAGTTTTATTCATAATTCAATGTAAATAAAACTAAGTCAATTATATTTATTTTGAGGTCTTAAAATTGATTTTCCATTCAGATTTAATGTAGGCCTGCCGTAACCCGTAACATAAATCAATAAAAAGTGTTTATTATGGCATTTTGAAAAGGAATAACTCATATTCTGTGGGAACTGATACAGTCTCCAGTCCCCACAGGAAGTCGTAAATGAGTCACAAACCACAATATTTCAAACGGTAACAAAATAACATTTTCTCATTTTCATAACATATGAAGAAATCACTCAACACTACAACAACAAACTCCTGGACCCATTTGAGAACTGGATTACTGGAACAAGAAGCTTACATTGTTTTATTCCTGTACTGAACTGTAGTAATGTTAGGTGCTTCATAACCTCACTAGCAACTGAATATGAAGTTCATTCAACGTCAAAAGCTGTAAAAATTACACTTCGTACAAAAGAATCTATTGTATGACTGTGTACGTATGACAATCAGTGGTGGGTGGCAGAGGTCATTGATCCAGCAGGACCAACAACCACCTTTAACACATTCACTGCTAATGATATGTAATACTTTTATAAATGGCTAAAAAACATAAACATTAACATGATCATGTTAATTGAGTGACAATATATCTTTAATTAAATAAATTTTATACTATAAATTGTGGATTAAAATATATTATGTAATTATATACATCATGTATTATATATCTGCTAATATACTTATGACGCACAAGTGCGTCATTAGCAGTGAACGTGTTAAAAAATGAGAAAGACCAAGCTTGGGTGCCTATAATCAAAGTTTTGAGAAAATTAAATCTCTTGGAACTGACAAAAACCACTGGAAGGACATACAACATTACTCCCAAACTGAATGAAGAAATATCCAAATTTCTAATGAGCACAATCGAAGTAGAACAAAAAACACTAATAAGTAAAAAATGTTATAATTCTTTAAGAACTTCTATTAGAAGAACTAATATTCTTTATTAAAATAAAAGAGGTTCAATAAATTTATAAATAAGCTAAAAATATTTATTGAAAAAATAATTAGTGTAAACCTGAATTAAAATAATCTGATAAAGGGGTTTTTTTAATATCACAAAGACAAGAAATTTGCAAGAAAAAGCTATAGGCCCTAAGCCTACATTACTTTAAAGTAGGTAGGTAAGTTTACACTAAATCAAATTACCTACACATTAATTTAAATAAATTAATCTTTAAGCTACTTACAGTACTAGCCCCATTGGCCGAGCTTATGGGTTTTTTGCGATTTTCATGATACTGTAACTTAGCTTAAAAGTAAATCTCAAAGATGAAATTCATACAGCAGTATAACAACTATAAAAGGGGTTTTTTTGGTAAAAATTTCAGATTTTTAAACTTTGTCCCAACAAAGATATTGAGACTCAAAATATGAATTTTTGGAAAAATTTGAGTTTTTAAAAAATTTTAACTTTTAAAGGAATCAAGTCTCAGGGTTGATATTTGACTGAATTAGTGTTCCGCAAAACAAAAATGGCCGCCGTAGAAGTAACAAGAGATAAAAAAAATTTAAAATCACTCTTGAACCCAGAATTGATATAGGTATCTAGGATTAAAATATTATTTATTTAAAAAATGGTCAAGCAACCAATTATTTTATTTCTGTATCACTTGATATGGATAGACCCTGTACTGTAGCTGAATACCAGTAGCATTTTTCCTACCCGATCGGCTCATTCAACAGCGCCTTTGAGGATGCAAACATGGATATTTAGAGAAAAAGTGAGTGGTCAAGGAATCATGGCCTTAAATTGAATGTTGTAAATGCACAGTGATCCACATCGGATTACCACCCATCGTAATTTTAAAATCTGTGACGGTGACGTGCATATTAAACTTGACAATGAAAAGCTTAGGGTTAGTGGCACTGTCAGGACTTTGGGCGTAGTTCTTGACGGTGGTCTTACCTTCTCCAACCACATCACTTAGCCTACGTTTCTCAAATTGCTTTGGGAAGGCTGCAAGGCCTGTAGAGATTCCATTTGATTCTTCCAGAGACTGCAAAATTGAAGTTGGTTCAGTCTCTGGTGTTGTCAGTGATGTATTACTGCATTCCTGCTTATGGCAACAGTATTTCCCGGGAGGATATGAACAGACTTACTAGGCTGCAAAACAGCGCAGTTTGTTTTGTCTACGGACTTCATAAGCGGGACCACATATCCTCTTTCCGGGATTCTGCTGGTCTGTTGTTTGTTTGTTTGTATGTTTGTTTGTCTGAAGGTCAATCGCGCATTAACTAACTACTGGTCGGATTGGGTTGAAATTTGGAATGATGCTAGCTCACATTCCCGATTAACATACCTGTATAAACATATTCTTATCACAAAAATCCTTTTGGGTTCCGCCCCAGTGGCTCTAGAGTTTCCCATGTTAACCTTATGAGTATTCATATTTAAAAGGAACTAGTGTTAGTAGCCTACATTTTGCTTGAATTTGAGCAATTGCAAAGTATTAAGTTACAGAAGTTATTTCAAAACGAACAACAGTCTTATTTACAATGAGTTTAAAAGAGTCAACTCAAAGATTAGGCCTACCGGTGTGTAACTCGTGGAAATACTCACGATGTATATAACAGTTCAATATACTGTAATCAACATTTGCTGTAAATATTTTATCATGTTTCATAAGCTGATATTGTTTTTATTGTTTTAACTACGAACATTTCCTTACCGGTAGGCCTACTTATAAAAAATTCAATAGCCTAATTAATAACTTATATCATTAAACACAAACCAACATCCAAAACTATACACATTTTTAATACAACGTCGATAAAGTACACATTGACTGTTTACAATTAGCCTAACATATGTTCTTCTTCTCACTTTTAATTTCTGACAACAGCTGGAGTTTCATAACAATGTTTGTTTCCCATGTTAATCTTATGGAGAAATACAAAACTTTAAAGGGCCCCAGGTCCTCACCCTAATTATTTTCTACAAACGCCCGACCAGTCATTGTCGTTCACCATGCGACCAGAGCACGACCCAACCAAGGCAACGAATGTTTTACAAACTTCAGTGATATAGATGTTGAAAAAGTAGCTGCTGTGGTGCATTTGTATCGTGGATACGTTTAAGCGGAAGAAGAAACGATACTGGTTACATCCAATGTTAACTGTCAGGTCTACAAAAGGGCAGTTTGCAACATTTTATGAAGAGCTACGTCAATATGAAGACATGTTTTTTAATTATACAAGAATGTCTGTTAAAAGCTTTGATGACTTACATAGAAAATTTGCTGGTGAAATCAGGGGACAAGACACTTCATTGAGACAGTGTATAGGAAGTGAAGAAAAACAGTGTAGGCCTATACGAGTGGTGTACTGGTCGGGTCGGAGGCAAGTCGGGGGTAGTGCGCGACGTCCCATTACATTGTGTGCTATTTTTGGCTGCAACAACCAGCGGGTCAGGCCTGACCAAACTGAAAATCTTTGGTCGTGCAGTGCACGCTGTTCCATTTATTCCTATTATAAAACTGGTCGTGGTCGGGATAGTGCGCCGGGTACCGGTACTCTGCTAAGTAATAAATATTAAAATAAAGTAGATCAAAGGCATCACAGCTGTGGCTAAGTTATGGCGTCAACGTAGCCACAGCTGTGAGGCCTTTGATCTTTAGGCCTACTTTATTCTACCGTAATATTTATTAACTTAAGCAACAGCTGTTGCTGCGTTGTTAAAAAGTTTAGTTTTGACTATATGTCATGATTTAGCACACTTCTTCATTCGTTTGTAAATAAAACGTTATCAAAATATTTGTTCATATAACTTAGTGGTCCAATTAAGTATTTCACACAAATTAAACATCACGTCTTAAGTTAAGTATAGGGTGTGTCGAGCAATCGAAGCTGTCATCATTATTGTTGGTAGGCTAAGGAAATATAAAATCTTTTGGAAATCATAGCCCCTACATAACTTAGGCCTAGAGATGCGTGTTTTCTTTTTCTTTTTTATCCCAAACAAATTATACACTAATTATATCGTTCGGTCCACTAGTACTGTAATTTATCATCTAACTTAACTTAATAAGTTAGGCAATGTAGCCTAGGCCTAATATTTTATACAAATTTGTTTTATTAAGTTACATGTTTTAACTTACACATTAACCTAACTTACATTAATTATTGTTTTTAGGCAAAAGAAAACTTAGCCTAAAATCTGTTGAAAATCATAGCCTAGGCCTACATAACTTGCAAGCCTAAGCTGGATGCGTGTTTTTTTACATCCCGAACAAATTATACACCATCGGACAACGTTAGGTCCACTGGTACTGTAATTATCGTGTATTAAGGAATGTAGGCCTATATTCGGGTGCAGTTTCTTAACTGGGTAGGCCTATTGCAATATCGATTGAAACTAAGTTATCGATTCAATTAGTAAACTTTCATGCGATTTTTTCTTCACCATCAGCAAGTTTGGTTGGTTAGGTTAGGTTAAGTATGATAGTTTTATTTTATAATAGATATATTTAAAAATATCGATTATTAATCAATATTTTCTATTCGATAGTTTCAATCAATATTAGCGTAGGCCAGTTAAGAAACTGTAGGCCTACCCCTATATTCCCACCCATGTTACGATCAATTTCAACTTAACTCAAAATTGTTAACTTTAGCCCTCACTATAAAAATGGTAAAAATTACGCAGGAAAATCCAGTAACCTTATACTAAGCTTATAGCCTATTTGAAAAGAAATTCTTGTTTTTTATAGGCCTATCTAAGACTTGAAAACAAGTGCCTAGATCATGACTAGGCCTACTCTACAATGTTTAGCAGCATACAAAATTATACAAACCGTGGAAAATTATGAACATTACCTGGAAAAAGTCGATAACTTACTTATATCATTAGTTTTAAAAGATCTAATCCAAAAATGTTCACATAAAACATAACCTAAAAATTCAATCCCCATTCTCTATTCTGCCTCAAGCCTTTCGGCCAAAAAAGCCCAAAAAGAAAAAGTGTCTCGCGTCTCGGTCCTCGGTGCACGAGACCTTACCGTCAGACCACGATTACTAGAAAAATACCGTCAGACCGCCACCGCCCACCACCGCGCCATGCACAACGAATCATACCGTGCATAGCCGAACTGTTCGTGGGAAATTGTTAGTTCTATCACTGTAGCTGTCAAAACGTGTCGTTTGTAGGTTAAATTTAAATTAATTTAACTGTCATAACCTAACCAAACTTGCTGATAATGAAAATTTTGAATAAAGGTTTACTAATAACAAAAATAGTTCTTTTCGTAAAATAAAATTATAAATGTCTTAAAATCAACTATATATTTTTATAATTATAAAATTAAACTATCATAACCTAAACAAACCAACCAAACTTGTTGATAATGAAAAAAAATCGAGTCAAAAAGTTAATGCCTCCGGTGGGTTTCGAACCGGCTACCTCCGAATCATCAGCCCGGTGCGCTATCCACTACACCTCCGAGGGGATCCCTTCTAGTAGGTAACCTTTCAAACTGGTGAAGGGACCTACCTGCCCGATATTGAAATCGGTCAGGTTGGTTACTTTTCTACGACGGCGCTGAAGGGCCACCAACTGATTAAAAAAAATATTTTCTTCATATCTGAGAAAAAACTTAGAATTCTAAGATTAAAGTCAGAGCCCGGGAAGTAGGCTTCCTCTCTGAGAAAAAAGTCAGAATTCTGAGTTTAAAGTCAGAAATTACAACTAGATCTAGTGGGCGTTCCCCTCTGAGATTTAAGTCAGATTTTAACTCTTTGCTCTCTGTCTACCCGTCCCTTTAGCGATAGGCTAGTCTTGAGTTTGAGTTGAGTATTGACTGAGTGAATGAGTAGAATAAGTTATAGCATAGCCACCTCTAATACAAGTAGATTATTGTAGATTATCAAATTAACAAAGGAAATACATAAAGTTCATCTATTTCCACATTCATCGCACTTACAATACGATAAATGCAACCAAAAACATTATGTTTGTATATTTTTAGTTTTAGACATGTTGCGGTATGTTGCAATTTTTCACTAAATTAACAACCTAGATTACAATTTTGTCTATTTTACCATACCTTAAAATCTACTAAAATATGTTATTGCGTATTTAAATACTTTCATTCATTGATACAGAGCAGCAATACTCTCATTGATGTTCATAGCCTAGCACGTGTGAAGACGGACGCAGAGGGGGTATGATTGCGGCGTTGCCAGTTCGAACGTCGCGGCCTTGTATTAGAGGTGGCTGTGGTTATAGTCTATTCAAACTCAGTCTTTACAACCATGGACACATATGCCATAATGGCTCTAACTTAACATATGCATCTAAATGCCAAAGATACTTTGGACCTTTGTTCTTGTATTTTCGTCGACGTAAACGTTTGCGGGTCCTGAGGTCAAATCCTACAGGGTCAAGTGCTTTAAGAATCGAACTAACTGTGTTTTGTTTTACTACAAAGCCATTTTGGATACATTTCAAATGCATCCATCTGTATCCATGTAGGCCTAACTGGTCTGAGTAGTTAAGCTCATTCCTAATGAAATGTTTCACCTCTTCAATTGAAGACTAATTAATCCTCCTAAACAAAACCTAAACCTTTTTAAAATACAGTACGTTTCAACTGTCTAATACTCAACACAGATGTGTTATATTTACAAGCAAAGTAAAGCTATATTTCTGCCTGAGCCAAGCCTAATCTAAAATAATCACAAAAATGGCTTCTCTTTCATTAGTGTCCATTTCGGTGCTCAATTCGCCGTTTTGTTAGGCAGTAGAAGAACGTCCAATTCAAGGAACGCCCACAAGTTAAATTCTGACTTTAATCTCAGAATTCTAACTTTTTTCACAGAGAGGAACGCCCACAAGCTAAATTCTGACTTTAATCTCAGAATTCTAACTTTTTTCATAGGGAACGCCCACTTTTTAAATTCTGACTTTAATCTCAGAATTCTGACTTTTTTCTCAGAGAGGAAGCCGACTTCCCGCGCTCTGACTTTAATCTCAGAATTCTAAGTTTTTTCTCAGAGATGAAGTCAAATATTTTTTTATAGTTGGTGGCCCTTCAGCGCCGTCGTACTTTTCAATTTGGTTAGGTAATGAACGCCCTCTTGCTCTTGTGGTGGGGGCATCGACTGCTCTCATTGGCTGCAAGGTTTCTGGGGGAGGAAGTAGTTTTTATGGGGTAAACAGTGCTGCCAACCCAAAAGTCTGGAGCAATAAACATTCCCATACAAGGGTAATGTGGGTAATTCCGATATTTACGGCTACAAAGTAGGCAGTATAAATGCCGAAGGAAATTATATGTATAAAAAATCTAGTTTGAACTTTTCATAGGTGAAATACTGTAAATAACAAAATACGATATTAAGTCGATAATCTTGCGAACCTGTTTCTCTCCATGCCCCTGGGTCACTGCTAGGCTACTTTCTCTTGTAACTAAATCTACAGTATTAACGGGTCAGATTTTATTAATTAACTAGCTGTTGCCGTTGGCATCGCCGACATACTTTTTCGTCTTTTATTCTTTACTATAAGCCTGCTGAAGTTGTCACTGACTTCGCTACGGAACGGAACTACCCTCTCTGGAACAACTGAATGATTTTACCAAAAATACTAAAAGTATTCATATCTCCTTTCATTCATAATCATACTCCAAGCCAAATTTTCCAATGGTACAGTTATTTTTCTCTAACTTTATTGAAAAGTATTTCAGATAGTCTAAAGTAGGATTAAAAGTAACACAAACACATTATTTTATTTAGTGATATACTGTATTAAATGATGTTCCCCGTTACTGTCTCGGCATGCTCTTGATTTGATATTATTCTTGAATTTTGTTGTCCCTTCTGTACATTTAATAATTACTAGAGGGCCCATGCTACTCTACAACGTTGAAATGAAAATCATATTCGAGCAATAATCAAATTTATAAATTTTTATTGAGTATCTTGATCTTAACTGATTCAAACGATAAATAGCTCAAATTAAAACCTTTAATTAACTTACTATTTTGCGTCAAAAACATGAAAAAAACTTAAACAATAGTGGACCTATTGATTTTAATCATAGAAAACCCTTATAAAAAAATAATTTATATGTTGGTTGTTCACATTGCAATTGCTTGTAGTCCGTCCGATTTGGATAACTAATTAATAGCTTAAATGAAAGCCGGCATTTCACTGAAGGTTCTTAGACCAAAATATGTAGGATTGTATAATTATAACTGGTGAAATGCATCTTAAATTGTAGTAAGAATTCGAAAAAGTGAAATATATGTTTTTTGGACGAGTAATACAGTAGATCAATATATATGCCGATGCTTAGAGTGAAATCTGTGCACACCTTCAATTTGAAACCTCAATCATGAAAATCGGTTAAATTCATTTTTAAATATAAGAAGATTGACTCTATTATTAACGTTTAACGAAAACTATCACCGTTTTACAACAAATTGTGTAGCAGTTCCGGTTAATGATAACAACCTATACTGAATTGAAGCTTTAGAATAGAAGATTTTAAATGTTTACGGGAGCAAGCTCCTAAAATGTAATAATATCGGTAGCTATACTTGCGATAGTACACTTGATAGGTTTTTAACAGCTTTTATTGATTTATGCATTATTATTATTATATAATAAATAATGCTATTTAATAAAATAAAAGATTGGTAATCATATGATTAAACGTACGGACACTGACTAGTTTTTAGGTGGTGGAACAAGCAAATTTTCACAGTTTTGAATGCAAACCTATTTTACTCGAAATAAGTTTGAGATAGAAAAACACTCTTGAAATACAAAAGTTGTGGATAATTTAATTCTACACTACCGATCTTCCATAAGATTTAAGATCCAAGCATTGTAACTTATAAGTTACAGACCAAAATATAATATCTTGCATACTCGAATTTCTTCTGAAATAGATTTAATCCCCTAAACCACCCTTGAATTTAGAACTTTGAAAAACCCCCAACTTTGTACATCTACACCATATACATAGATTGTCGTCCCAATGCAAAATTTTATTATTCTAGGTCTTATATATGTTTTGAGATACATTATAGTGATCATTTGTCAGTGATATGCCAATCAATATAAAGGTAGGTCAATGGAAAGCATTTATCTACGTGGTGATCGGATGCATAGCAGCTTCAAAACGGATACGTCACAAAATTCGTGTTTGCCTATTAAATATATTGGGTATCTATATTTAATATATAGATACCCAATATGCCTATAAACATTCAAACTTATGGGTCAATTTGCTGCACACAAAATCCAACAAAGTCTTTTAATAATATAGATACTTATAAGGTTAAGAAAACTCCAGAACCACTTAGGTGGAACACAAAAGTCAGATCAGGATAAAAACTACTTAGTTTTCCTATTTAATGCCTGAAGAATCAGTACACCAAATTTCAACGTTCTAGCTAGTCTGGAAGTTGGATTAGTAATGAATTATTGAGTGAGGGCTTTTACTTTTATATGTTAAGATTATTAGCTAAATATAACACATATGAAAGGTACAAAATAAAATCCATAAGTTAAATACAGTAGTAGAATATATAAAAACGGAGCTCCAGACAAAGCTGTCTTTAAAATTTGAAATAGGTGTTGCTGCAGACTTTTAATTTTATTCAGCGAGATTACGCCCCTGAATTTAGTGTTACTCCCTCAATATGACAACACTGTTGGATAAATCTAGCTCAGTGGGATAAATGCAGGGATGCAGCAGGCACTTGTAGAGCGAAATTTCCCACAATTTCCATGTAACCGTTTGACTGGTTTTCAGGTTATGTGACAAAATCCAAAACACAATTGAACATAGGATGCACAATAAATCGGATGTGTTTACTTTTGGGCTATTGACTTAATTATTACATCAAACAATTAAATGTATTCTGAACTTGTGTACCCGTTGCGAAATAGAGCGTACTATAGCTAGCCGCCATACGCGTGCTTCACTAAAGAAGCGCTAAAGAGAATAATTTATTGTTATGTTCCATAGATCTGTTGTATGAAAAATTAAATAACTCATAAAATAAATGCCTAACATTTGCATTTAAAGCACCAATCGAATTATTTTCAAAAACGTGTTTTATATCAACTAGACAGACAGCTAGCTGATCCACGGGCTTCACCCCGTTCCGTTTGACTTCATAAGTATTAACATTGAGTCTTGTTAACACTATTGATTGGATAAGTTAAGTTAACTGATAATCATTTAGCGTTGAACTTACTAAACAACATCACAGATGCAATTTACGGACTTGAGAGGCCATCAATTCTGGACCTGCCCTTCAGATTTTTGTAAAGAGTTTTATCGAAAAATTTGTTGTTAACAGCTATTTTTAATGTTCAAAAGTTACTTTGTTGTATTGCACTGCATATTTATCATGAAAACATCAAAAGAAATTTACAGATATTTTTAGTTTTACATATTCTTTAAAGACATCAAGAAAGTTATCAAGATCCCTTAGTTCGCTGACGATATAAATCTGTTTGAGGAAAGTTGCTTCCCTCTATGATTATGAGTCATTTTGCCTTAGGCTTAATACTTTAATTTGAAATGGCAACCATACAAAGCAGGTATTTTAAGCCAGTATGAATGGAGATGAGTGTAGGATGGATGAGTGGCACGATTTTGCATCCTTGTTAGTGACTAAGGCTGACATATTCCTTAGACACAGCTGTCAATTAATAGCCCATACTTTGGGCTAATGGATAACTATAGGGACCTACAGTTTATAGTGGAATCCGAACCACATTTTTCCTTGGTATAAAAAAATTGGTCTAATTATCAGGATAGTATTATGCGGATAGTCGTAGTAAGGGCGTTAATTCAAACCACGAAGTATCACATCCACAGTACATGCCTATAAATATCCACAACTCCTGACCTCCTAGTAGCTGAATTACAGGATGACACCACCGTCTCAGTCTCTTAATGATGTCTTAGCTAAGACTTGACCAAAGATAATGGTTGATTACACCAAGAATAAGTTAAAAATTGTTGGCATTAACAAAATTCTCTGGATATTGACTATTTCCCAGATTCTTATTGACTCGCCATGTGGGTTTGGGCTTTGGGCCAGACATTCAGCACATCTGTGCCAAGACCTCTGGCATTCTCAAAATGATCTGCTGTGCAAGACACTGTTTGAGCATCCATGATTTTTGTCTCCATACCTGCTATATATCCAGTATAATTTTTATGTGCGGCAACAACTAGGGTCTTCGGTCTTAGTGTGTATTCTGGTCGCTTTTACCAGCACAGCCTTTTTCAATGTCTTAGGCCCCCAATACGGGAAGAATGAGCATACGCCTAGTATAAATTGTCCTTAAAGTAGTTCTCGTATGTCAAGAAGTTTACAACATAGATTTACATTGTAAGAAAGGGGATTAACCCTGTACCCACGGTGCTCATCTAAGCAGATACTCTGTTTACATTACACTTATAGTCCTCGCCACCCTAAGTTGAGGCAGGGTATATCTAGTATATCCGTATATCTAGTGCGGCCTTTGGCTGCCTCAACTTAGGGTGGCGAGGACTATAGTCGACCAGTTGGTGTGAAGAGAGTTGAACAGTAGCATGAGTATCGATTTACAAATTCCTTTCCCAGCTGACGTGAGCTAGGCGATGACCGGTAGGGCTGACTTCCAAGAAACATCGTTAACCTATAAGTCAAACACCCAATGAGAAGGGCTAATGAAGAAAATGGAGGGGTGAGGAGTCTCGGAGCTGGAGGACCTGAAGAAACAAATCGAGGAGTTCACCACGGGCCACTGGACCAAGAAGATCGAGAGTTTCGGAGTGTGTGTATCGGTGCGTGTGCTTCTGGGACAATAAACAGTATGTAAAAAGAATAAAATATATAACTAAAGTTTTGTAAAACAAACAAGTCATATAGTTTGTCAGTAACTCATTCTTTTAAATTTTTAATTGATTTTCTTTTCTTGTAAATTATAACGTTGTAAATTTATTTATCTTATTATTGTTGATCTTTGCCTTTTCAAAGTTTTCTTTTGCTTTTTTTTGTTGTTTTTCTTAATTTAATTTTGTTCATTACTCGTTGAGCAACACCCTTAAGCAGTCTTATGTCCCATTAAACTAACACCTCTAGACATTAACCTAACACCTCTAGACTATGAAGTTCAAACATTTATTCAGAGGAAAATTCTTGAGTGATTTTATTGGGTTGGCTAAATAGAGTTTTTGTCTCAACTTTTAAATTACTTATTTCATTTTTACAGTACACTCATTAGTCATTAAACACCAACATTATTTTATTTTACTAGCTATATATTAACTTTGCTTCTTAAGATAGGCACTCGCATATATAATATAAATATCATTTTATCTTTAGGTAGTTATCTGAGACATGTACGATCAAGAACAATAAAAAAATATATCTAAAAAAAGAATATTTTATCTATAAAACTGTCAAAATAGTTAGAAGATCAAAATAAAATATATAATCATTTTTACATGTTTTCTTTACAAATTACAGAGAAGTTTACTGGTAAGAATTTTAACAAAATTAACTCCTCTAGATTAAATATAAGGTTTATTGGTAAAGTATAAAAACAGTACATAACAATAAAAGGCAACATATAATAATAACTATAGCTGCCCTGTACAGCGGCCAACCTTCTCCATAATATTTTTGTCCAGAGGTGGGGCTACATCTTTCTTCCTGAAACAAACATTTTAATCTTGGTAAAGAAAGTCACAATTTTAAAATACTCAGGTGTACCAAATTATGCGGGTTGGTATAGTTGGTAGTTTCAAATAAAAAGGTCTTATTTTACAATGAATTACCATAGGTACCCTTAACTAAAAGTTTTTAACGGGTTTATTCCGCCTACAAACGTGCGACACAAACTCGATCTTTGAAGGGCTTTCATTGCTTGTTAAAGACACATGTTAACTTCTTGCCACCTTCTTGCTAGAAGAATAACTCTTGTTAATGTGGCAAGAAATAGATATCTTCCTGAGGAGGATCTAATTGGGAAGCTACAGGCTTTTATCGGACGCCTGAACTTGTAACTTCAAGAAAACAACTGTATGGGGTGTGCAATAATTTTATTTTTGGATGAAGTGCTTTATGGTCTTGGCCTGCCCCTGTTAACAGTTTTAACAGGATCAGCAACAGGTAAATTAAACCTTTTATATTTTGTCTAGGCCTATATTTCCCTGATCAAGTTAGTGCAAAGAAGTTTTTGTTGAATAATAGTTGTAAAGGCTTTAATTTCCTGAATTGAAATAAGTACCTGGGGACCGAGCCATGGCGTAGTTTATTTTGATTGTAAAAGCAATATACAGGAATGGATGCTTTAGAAGAATTTGAAATTTATAAAACAATCAAAATTCAAGCTAACACATTATTAAACGACAAAATCAGTTTACAGTCTAACGCTCTGTATGATACTCTAATAAAAAAACAAGAACAGCTGATGAACAAGGAGCCGAGCTGTACACAGTCCACTGCCCAACCATCTTCCGCATCGCAGTCATGACCCTCATCTGCAACTGTGCGCACGAGGTTGGGGTTGGACATTGTAAGTTTTTGTTAGTAAGCCTACTCGTTTTGTTCATAAAACGTCTATGACTGTAAATAGTATATGTCCGTGTTTCGCATTTAAACTCTTGATGACCCTTTTGAAGTTACAGTGTTAAATGTTCTTGTACAAGATCTCATGATGAGGACTTAAGTCCTTAAAACCCGTAATCTATAAGGACTAAACAGGATCAATCTGGCAGTACTGAGGTAATTTTATACCTTATATAGTTGGTTCATTGATCTTGAGACAAAACAACTCAAATATGAAAATGAATATTATGTTATTGATTTATTTTAACGTAAACAGTAGGGCAATTACAATGTTGGTCATAATTGTTTTTATACAGTAGGCCAACATTTGGTGGCTTTTGTTTATAAATTCGGACTACTTAACAACTGTTTGGATTAGGCGGTATAGTTCATCTTCCCGTTGCGAAGCACGGGCACAGAAGCTAGTAAATTACTAAGTGATTTAATGAATAACTCTATATATAATATTTACAATAAACTATATCTTCAAAAACCTGGCTGTTTAACGGATGATATGGCAGACATACACTTATCTCACTATGTGCTCTTCCTTAAGTTCTTTTACGGAGTAGGCCTACAGCGGCCTATAATTAGTATTCCTTTCAGCGCCTTCTGAAGGAGGGTGCACCCATCTCCTGCAAATGAGTAGGCAGTTATGAGTTGTAGTTAATAGTAGAACGAGGATAGCTATTCTAGGTACGTTTGAGACGACAGCAGGAAAAGTCTATATTTTGTGCTCTTCTGGTATAGTACTCCTGCACCCCAGTGGCGGATCCAGAGGGGGGGGGGGGGCAGTCGCAGTTTGGAAATACATGTCATATATTTTTGACTGCATGTAATACAGTAGTGCATACAAATTGTGTAAAATAATTTGTCACACTAACTTAGGACAAAGAAATGGTATAAAACTGCCATTTTTGAAGACTTAGTTTAAACAAATTTTTGGGGAAGGAGGGGGTACGCCCGAACCTCTCAGACACCCTGGTCCCCCCCCCCCCCTTGTGACTGTTCTAGATCCACCACTGACTGCACGTCATCTTTTCTAGGGTCAGGATATCAAGCACTACACCGTGAGTACCCTTAAGCTACATTTCCATTCCTACAAGTCGCAGGCACAAGTCGAGGCACATGTCGAGACCATGACGAGGCACATGTCGCACGTAGTTTGTTATGCCGTTTCTATTCCAGGCACAAGTCCCGCGACTACAACTGGCAGACAAGGCAGTGTTCTCTTTTATTGTGATGTGGTGAGGTTCGGTGGCTGATTTTGATTATATTGTGTTCTACAAATCACCATGGATGACATAACAGCCTCTGCTTTTTTATTTATGGCTGGTGCATACAATGAACTTAGAAGAAAACTACCTAGATAGTGGATAAGAAGTTTTTTGGCTAAAAGAGCATTGGAAGGTGCATTTAATCAATTGATGAGAGATTTGCGCGTACAAAGTGGCTTCGAAAATCTCTTCCAACGGACTCAACGAAATTTGAGGTTATGATTACCTGTAATTTATGAGCATGCGGTAGTTTGGAGGACTTGCGCATGCGCGAGTGCGCGGGCACATGTTTTGTCGCGCAGTCGGCGGGCACAAATTTGTGCCGCGACTTGAGCCAGGATGTTTCCATTCCTACAAATTTGGAGATTTGTGCCGGAACAAATTTGCAGGAATGGAAACGTAGCTTAAGATCCTTTAAGATTGGCCAGCAATGATCCAAATGCTACACAACTGTAATAATCCTAAAGGTTCTGGACAGCATCGTTGTATCATCTGCAAATAATAATGTTTTCCCATTCAGATTAAGGCAAGATTTTGTATAGGTTAGGCCTAACTTATACCCTTAACCTCATTGACGGGTAGGGCAGTCAAAATCGAAGCAAAAATTAAAAGCCGAGTAGGCTAAGTTTATGGGAAGATTACATTAGCTTAGTGTAGCCTAATGTTTTTAATATCATAAAATAAAAATGTCTTAAAATATTATTAGACTAGCCTAGGCTATTCATGGGGTTACAGCTCTTTTGCTTGATGCATTGAAATGGATTTGATGAAGTAGAACTACACAACAAGTACTATTACCCCTGATCTATTTAACTGCACAACTATACTTATTATTTATTTTAACGTCTGTGATAGAGCCTATATATTTGATAGGCTATGCATAAAAAATGTGACTGTGATAATAGGCCTATATCGCTATTGATCAAGTAGCCTAAGTTATATACCGTGAGTTAGTGTCTCAGACGAAGTCTATAGTAATCAGTGATTATTCAACGACCAATAAAATGGGCCTACTTAATTACTTGATGTCTTTAAGATGGCCAAGTTATTTTGTTAGTAGTATCAACTAAGTTTAGACTAACCTACAAGGTTTATTATCACACATAAAAATGTTTTGATGGCCGTTGCCCTGGCGGTAGGTTAGTTGCGCATTTGCTACCTACAAAATCCGGGCCCTGTAGGGTGGGTTATAATGCGGTAGAATGGCGATAAACTTAGGTTAGTTGCCCATTGACGCCTTGAAAAATAGATCTCTTGAAATTGTAAAGAGCAATGAAGCGTAGGCCTACGAAAAAGCCAGTCTACCGAAATAGGCAAATCATTATGAATTTAATGTGTACCATGTAACCTTGTAAGTTATAGCCATCCACCTCCACCTGTCACGTAAAGCCACAATAATCAAAGAAAAAATCACACTACTCCAGCTGCTGAGAGTATCAAATACGTATAGGCTATGCTATAAAATGCTAAAAACTCAAATGGTAAACTAAAACTGTCATACAAAAAACTGTATACTTTGTCAGCATCTTATAAAAAATAAAAATATAAAAAAAACTAGAGCACTTGTTGCTCGAAATCGATCAATAGTCTAGTACCGGAAGTATAAAAATCCAACTAAAAGCGCAGTATGCAACTAATGGATGGACTAGGCCTATTTGATGTATAGATTCATTCGGTTAGCTAAGTTAGGTTAGGTTAACTTTACTAACCAAACTTGATATATTGAATGAAATAATCGATTTATCGATATGTTTATTCGAATTATAGTGTAGGACGTAAGGCATAAAGTGCAGTTTAATTTTAAAATAGATATATTTTAAATATCGCTTATTAATCAATATTTTCAATTTGATAGTTTCAATTGATATCAGCGAAGCCCAGGAAACTGTACCCCCAATTTATTTTATAGGCTACCAGAAACTAATTTGAATTTGCTTGAAACGTTCAAACGTTAACATTCTAATGACCATGTCCATGTCAATAAGTTACACCTTTCAATTTTGTGATGACAAAAATGGTTCTTTAAACTGTAGTAGTTGTTGTAACTTAGGCCTAAATTGAAAATACACACCTAAAATACAAATTTGTATGACAATTTGACAATTGAAATTGACAAACAATAAATTCTCCAAAATCCAACCTCAAACTTACTAGACTAGACTAGACCTGACCTAGAGCAGCAGCAGACAGTGTTGCCACCACGTTGTTGCGATTTTACCCTAAAGGCGGGCTAAAATTACCCTAAATTACCCTAAATCTACTTTGAGTTACCCTAAAAATTACCCTAAATGTTAATATTTGCGTTTAATGCTATAAAACATTGTTAAAATCATATAAATCCTACATAAGATGGTTAATTATACTAAATGAAGTTCCAATATCAATCAATTTACGTAAAATTATACTCGATTCTAAAAAACCACCCGAAAGAAGAACACAAAATGTTGATATTGAATTGATCAGCTCTATATCGACTATCGTATAACGAAAAATATCGAATCAAGAACTATCGAATTTTTTTACTGTATCGACCCATTACTACTGTTTTTGGACAATCATATCTTTAAAATACAGTACGGTACCACCAAAGCTTTAATCTATACATAGTAGTAATTTCTTGACACATTTTGTAAAATAATCCAGTTTAATTCAATTCAGCCACATAATTAAATATCAAACCCAGTAATGACTAATATTTCATATTTTATTAGGCCTATAACGTGTTATAGAATCGAATACATTCTAAAACAGATAATTTCCAACTATTGATAAGATCGATTAGGATAACTTATTATGAAAAAATCATCATAGCAAACGATTTCAACCAATTTGAATCGAATATGATAGCCATAGTATGTAATGAACGTTTTTTGCCAAATTTTGAAGTTTTTTTCATTTTTTTAGTAAAATTTCCATTATTATACTAACTTTTAGTTTTACCCTAAAATTGCCCTAAATCTACCATTACCCTAAACTTTACCCTAAGACCAGTAAATTACCCTAAAAAGGGTAATTACCCTAAAAGTGGCAACACTGGCAGCAGATCAGATCTAGAAGAGAAGAAGAAGAAGAAACGCGGAACAGAACAAGAAACGAGACGAAGGAAGGCTGAAATTTGGGTGGAGTAGAGGTAATTCAAAGAAGTCGCGGGAATTTTGAATTGATAGATAGTAAATCCAGTTGGTCTATCAACAAATCACGGAATACATGTAAACACTTATTTAAAATAATATTGTTTACAGTTTAAAATTTCTGAGTGAACTGCTTGTTCACTATGTTGATCATCTAGAGTTAATTTATTCAATCCAATAACTTGAACTACCCAGTTGTTTTTAAGTAAATCTTAAAAAGGTACTTACTTAAGTAAGTACTTATAGGTAGGCCTAACTATATTGATAAGTTACCATTTCTGACCAAATTAAACTATATTTACAGCATTTAATTAAGTAGGCCTAAAGCCTATGTATTAAGTCTATATTAATTAGGCCTAAATAATGTATAACGGTATAACTATCGTTGTTCATACTTGTGTAAACGTAAACCATCTTGCTTTGATGTAATAATGTTAGCTCTGTTTGTGTTGAAATAGATAAAATAAATTAAATAAAGCCTGCTTAACAGTAACTTATATATTTAATTATTGTAAGTTACTGTACTTAACTCAGGCCTACTGATAATCTCCATTAACTTTGTTGGATCAAAATTTTTATAATATTTTTAAGACCTAACTAACATTTAAATATCAGTTTTTGTTATCGGTACCTTTCATCCATTAAGTTAGGCGCCTTAGTTCTTAGGGATTCTTATTTCAAACTACACAACAGTGGAGTTTGAGACATAAATCTACAAGAACTAAGTTAGAAAGGCGCCTACTGGATTAAAAAATAGCTTTAAAATCAACATTTGAATTTCTTGTCACTGGCTTCATAAATAAAAACTAATTTTAACTTTGAAACTAAGATTTGTCCGATGCAAACTATGACGGTGCTGATTCATAAGTTAATTAAGTAATGGCTGTTATTAGGTTAATAAAATGTAGGCCTAACTCCCAAACAAAAATTTGCCTAAGTTGACTTTACAACGGCTGCACTTTAGTTTACAACAACAAAGTCTTTGAATTAAGTCAGCAGAACCAGAAGGCACTCCAATCCATTTTCGACTTCCACAACTCCAACAACTCCAGTCTCCAGTCCCTGTTGTCACAGCTTAGCCGTGACAGATAGCCAAATATCGATACGATAACCACATCGAAAGACTAGCTATCGGTCGTATGAACGATGACGTCATACCTGCTCTGCTCTGTATGATATTTCGCTCACCGAATCGGTGGGGGACCGAAAGCCAAAACGGCACACGGAAGATTTCTCAGGTGCCGTTTGACGTCACTAACTGCTTTGAGGGAACACCATTACCGCAACGATGCGGATTGGCCCATCGGCCTCGGTGGTGTAGTGGATTGCGTGTCGGGCTGATATTCCGAATGTATCGGGTTCGAATCCGGCTGATAGCACTTACTTTTTATCAACAATTTTTTTTTCATATCAGCAAGTTTGGTTGGTCTGGTTAGGTTATGACAGTTTAATTTTATAATAAAAAAAAATATAAAATTGAATTTTAGACATTTATAATTTTATTTTATGAACAAAACTATTTTTTATATTAGTAAACCTTCATTCGATTTTTTTCATTATCAGCACGTTTGGTTAGGTTATGACAGTTTAATTTAATAATAGAAAAATTATAAAATTGTCTGTTTCTTCAGACGCAGCAGTTAGTGACGTCAGCAGTTAGTGACGTCAAACGGTACCTGAGAAATCTTCCGTGTGCCCCACCGCTCAAAAGCGCATCCTAAAAATCCGCAACGATGACATCATAGTTTAGTTCAAAATTCCTCCTTTAACAGCGTTGTAGTAGAGCTGTCAGATCTCTTCTTAAGGGAACACCATTACCGCAACGATACGGAATTCAGTCATCGGCCTCGGTGGTGTAGTAGATAGCGTACTGATCTGATAAACCGAAGATACTGGGTTGTGCATCAGCTACTGATGCATCATCTCCTTCCATGGGTCTCCAACTCTTTCTTCTCCATCATCGTCTTGCCTTAACACTGACAGCTTAGTAGTGGGGATGGGTAGTAGAAACATATTTCAGTTCTGGCGGTGATCCTGCAACTTAGGGTGAAGATAATGTATAAGCCCAAGAATGTAAAACCATCCAGACCCCAATTTTTAGGGACCTTGGTCGCCCGTAATGACGTCATCAATATGGCTCTCGGAAGAGGATGCTGGGTCGCTATGAATTGGTTACTATACCAAAATGCCTGAACCGAAATTTGGCATACAATGGCTTGAATACGATATCTAATCCCAGTTTTTTAATGGTCGAGTTTGATTAGGTCATTTTAAAATGGCGGCCGTTAATAATTAAAAATTGTTTAATGTTTTGTTTTTCAACTCTCTCCAGAAATCTGCAGCAATCTTTTATTTTCCTTGCAATCACAGGTTGTGATGCCGTCCCTGCATTTCATGGAATAGGCAAAATACCCCCACTACAGCAAACCTGCAGACTAAGTGAGTTTCCATTTGCCTGATTTGATTTTCAATTAAATCCATTTCAATAACATTAAGTTTAGTGTTAACTAGGTATGCTGCTACGGGGAGGGTAATAAAGTGTGTTTTTTAATTAAAATATGAATAGGTTAAATAAATTCGCCAATCTTTATCAAAATATAACCATAAACTAGCAAAATAACTAATCAGTGTATTCAAAATAGTTTAGAGAGAAATTCGAAAATTTACGTTTACAGGGGAAAGCATGAGAAAACCCAATTATTACCCCATAAATCCCCCAGAACACCCCGTTCTCATGGTCCGATCATGGTGGTTCGCGAACTCGTTCGAGTAAACGTAGGTTTACACGTTTTTACCAAATTTCGTCAACATTGGGTAATTTTTGCTTGAGTTATTACTTGAGTTGTGCTAACGTTCTTTAAAAAGTACACGTCTACAGTCATTAACGCTGTTAAAGTTTGATGTTATGTCATATCGAAAAGTACAACAAATCTTTGGATTGATTCTAACGAGTTCGCAATCCGGCATGATCAGACCATGGGAACGGGGTTTTTATGGGGGATTTTTAACGGGGATTTATGGGTTCAAAATTGGGTTTTGTCATGTTTAACCCTCTGTAACATTTTCCAATTTCTCTCTAAACCATTTTGGATACCATGATGAATTTTAATACCTTAAAAACCAAATTATTTTGTTTATTGAAGTGTTTTTGTACGGATATTGGTTACCTACCGAGAAAATTCAAAAATTGTAAATTTATCATTCACATTTTATTCTTATGGAGAATAAGTAAACTGTTGTAGTTTACTCGTTTATGGATATATTTTTCTAAAACTTGGGAAATTTATTTATTTTGACCTAAGCTAATAATGCTTTTATAAAAAAACCACACTTTATTATCCTCTCCGTAGCAGCAAACCTAGGTACTAATTAAACTTGATGTTATTGAAATAGATTTAATTGAAAATCAAATCAGGCAAATGAAAACTCACTTAATCTGCAGGTTTGCTGCGGTAGGGGTATTTTGCCTATTCCATGAAATGCAGAGATGGCATCACAACCTGTGATTGCACGGAAAATGAAAGATCGATGCAGATTTCTGGAAAGAGTTGAAAAAACAAAACATTAAACAATTTCTAATTATTTAAATTATTAACGGCCACCATTTTGAAGTGACCAAATCAAACTCGTCCATTAAAAAACTGGGATTAGATATAGTATTCAAGCACTTGTACGCCAAATTTTATTAAAATCGGTTCAGGCATTTTTTTTTTTATAGAGGGCCAGGCTTACAAGTTACCATGGGATTGCATCGCAGCTAGAACAGCTTATTGTGCACCCTCGTTCACAGATCCTCATTCTCCGTCAAATCCCAGGTCTTTGGTGAACCGCGAGAGCCTTTTGACTATGGTGACCTGTTTTTCCCTTTGATCTCCCATCAATAGGCCAAGGGATCTCATACGCAGACCTTGTAGGGCTGGGCACATAAATATACCTTCACAGCTTTCACAAGGTCTCTGGCTGGGGCAAGCCGTAGCGAGATTTCCCCGAAAGGACTCAGCTCCTGAACTTGCTTGATCAGCCAATCCTT